CAAGATGGCCCCAGAAGAGTTTTTTTTGCTAAATCGTTCTAAAAAGGTCAAATTCACTTGTTTTGCAAATCAATCTGATAGCAGGGCATTATTAGTATGTTGTACTTTGGATTCCTTAAGCTTTAAGTCTACGTAACCGCATCATCCAAGGTTAGTTTTCACTAATAAGTACATAAATATGTTTTTTTGACGGACCTATAATTTTACAGTTTTTTTACCATGTTCAATCTGAATTTTCTTTAAAAGAAAGAAACATCTATATTGACTTTTGATCTTTCCTACATCCAACTCACAGTTTATCAATTACTGGTTGAGAAAAAGATGATTAATGTTAACCCTTGTTTAGGAAGGGAAGATAGGTCATTTGTTCTGGGAATGTCATTTTCGAGCCTGAAACCTGAAAAACAGGCTTGGGGCTTAAGAGGTAGCTTAGTGGAGTGCATATATTGTGTTTAATTCAATCAAACAACATAGCCCCAAGGCCTTTATAGATCTAAATGGCAAGTTCAGAACTCAGTAGGCCTACATGTGAAGCTAATTCAACCATCAACATAATTTAATTTAGGTGAAATTATCTAATCATTCACGCAGAGATGCAATCAATGACAGGAGTTGTCACTACAGTAGCTAGGTGGGTTCGAAACCTGAGCCCGCCGAAGTTTTCAGACAATGTCTTCCCCTCTATCTCTCAATTTAACACCCTCTCAGGAATAAAGGCACTCTGGCCCAAAAAACCTTTCTTAAAAAAAAAAGTAGATGACTTTTTAACATTATACTCAAAGGGCCAGTAAATATCACCCCGGGGCCGCCAATTGAATAGCCCTGGAGTACACGGTAAATGTATGGTTTCCTCGTCTCTCAGGGTGGAATGGATGATGCTGTACCAGGGAATGGTGGTGCTGGCTGCAAGTCAAGTGTGGTGGACCTGGGAGGTAGAGGACGTCTTTAAAAGTGTGAAGAAAGGAGAGAAGAACGCACTGAAGACCTATGCTATCAAAATGCACAAGCAGATTAATGAGTTGGTCAAACGCATTACACAACCTATGAAGACAAATGACAGGCGAAAGATAAACACTGTCCTTATCATCGATGTCCATGCAAGAGACATCGTAGACAGCTTTGTACAAAACAGGTATTATTTTTTTTTCTCATCACACATGTCAGCGTAAGTAATGTGTAGGTAAACTTATATTACAATGTTATTCTCTTTCCAGTATAATGGACGCACAGGAGTTTGAGTGGGAAAGCCAACTGAGATTCTACTGGGTCAAGAAACACGACAACCTATTTGTGCGTCAGTGCAGTGCTTCGTTCTCTTACGGCTACGAATACATGGGGTTAAACGGACGATTGGTTATAACCCCACTGACAGACCGTATCTACCTCACCCTCACGCAGGTCTGAGAATCTTTCCACATTTGTATCACCCAAGCAGAAACGTGTATATTGTCAGCTCGTGATGTCTGTATGTGGGTGTTTATTTGTAATACAGGCCCTCTCCATGTACCTGGGTGGAGCTCCTGCTGGACCGGCTGGTACAGGGAAGACAGAGTCCACCAAAGACCTGGCCAAGGCTTTGGGCCTGCTCTGTGTGGTGACCAACTGTGGGGAGGGCATGGACCACATGGTGAGAAGCTTGAAGAGTACACAGCTGCTGAGAAGTGACTTAATCACAATTAGTGAATCCTCTCCTCTTGGTTCTCAGGCTATGGGTAAGATCTTCTCTGGCCTTGCCCAGTGTGGAGCGTGGGGCTGCTTCGATGAGTTCAATCGCATCGACGCCTCAGTGCTGTCAGTTATCTCCTCCCAAATCCAGACTATCCGCAAAGCTCTCATGCTGCACCTGACAAGGTTTCATGTAAGTATGTTGTAGTTATACAGAACCAGTTATGAATACACTGCAAATAAGTTCCTGAATGTTTCACAGAGAAGGTTATTTGACATTTTTACTAACTTGCTTATTTAGCCTACACACAGTTGTTGAACTCTATTCCCTCTAAACGACACCTTTGTCATTATCAGTTTGAGGGGCAGGAGATCAGCCTGGACGGTCGCATGGGGATCTTCATCACCATGAACCCAGGGTATGCAGGACGCACGGAGCTGCCAGAATCAGTGAAAGCCCTGTTCAGACCGGTGGTGGTCATTGTGCCTGACCTGCAGCAGATTTGTGAGATCATGCTCTTCTCTGAGGGCTTCTTATTGGCCAAGGTGAAGGACACACACACACACACACACACACACACACACACACACACACACACACACACACACACACACACACACACACACATCCATACTCTAGATGTGTTCCCCCCCCTCCTTATGTGCCCAATCCCCCCATGTGAATCACACCTGCTGGCACTCACAAACACACACACACATACACAGAACAATTTGACACATTTCCCGCTCTTATGTGCCCATCCCCCCACATGGATCACACCTGGCACACGCAATACATGTTCAGTGTCTATTCTTTGTATATTTACTGCAGTTGTTCATGTATACCAGTAGTCTGATACAACATTTACAGTTTGAAATGTGGTGATGATGAATGGTGTTTGTGTTAATGTAATAGCAGTTAAAACAGGACCGGTCAAATTTGACCGCGAACACCAAAGTAAGGGGGGGGGAAAACGAAGACAATAGGAGGGTTAAAGGTTTCAGTCTGGATTAATACCTGACTCTAGATAAATGACCATTCCTTAGCCCCATCTTAAGAAAATACAAGTCTACGTTAATAAACTTAAGCGCCGAAGGTTTAAGAAACATGAAAAGAGGTTAAACAAGTGAGAGTTCACTGATCTAAAATTGTGATTATGTTTGAGATTGTTAATGAAAAAAGAACAGGTTAATTTGATATGACAGATTTTCAATTGATTTTATTTTTGTTAATTTGAAATGGACAATTCATGTAGGCATTGTTGTATTCTACCCTCTCCACAGGACGTGGTTTTGATGCGTGCTCTCAGGGACATGAACCTTCCAAAGTTTGTGTTTGAGGACGTGCCTCTGTTCCTCGGGCTGATCTCAGATCTGTTCCCTGGGCTGGACTGCCCTCGGGTTCGCTATCCAAACTTCAATGATGCCGTGGAAGGGATCCTGGAAGAGCACAAATACGTCATGCTGCCAAACCAGGTTACTCATCTGGGTCTACATTTTATTCTTTGATACACGGGCTGTGTAGTTACATTGGCAAATATGTATTTGGGAATGTGAGTGTTTGGATAATGATTCACCCTTTTCTTCATGCTGTCGGTGGTTTCAGGTGGATAAAGTGGTGCAGATGTACGAGACGATGATGACGAGACACACTACGATGATTGTGGGCCCCACAGGCGGAGGGAAATCGGTTGTGATTAGCACATTGTGTCAAGCTCAGACCAAGTCAGTTCACATTGGTTTACATCACCTTCCTGATCTTTTGTGTGAACAATAGTGATATTTATTTTCACTCATCATCAGATTGGGAGACCACACCAAGATTTATCCCCTGAACCCTAAAGCCATGAGTGTCATTGAACTTTACGGTATTCTGGACCCTGAGACTCGAGACTGGACTGACGGGATCTTATCCAACATCTTCCGGGACATCAACAGGCCTACTGACAAAAAAGAGCGAAGGTAAACAAACAGAGAAGTGTTAGCAGTTTTTTAAAAAGTGCAGGGTGCGAGTTACACGTCTCATTCATACTATATGAACTCTGCCTCACAGGTACATCCTGTTCGATGGGGACGTGGATGCTCTGTGGGTCGAGAATATGAACTCAGTGATGGACGACAACAAGATCCTTACACTAGCTAATGGAGAACGGATACGTTTACAGAATCACTGTGCTATGCTTTTCGAGGTTTGTCTCACTTTGAAGAAGGCTGTCAGCAAAAAAACCTTTACTGACAATTTACTGCAAAGCAACACTCAGATCAATAATGTGAGGAAACTTCCCCACCACAGGTTGGAGATCTGCAGTATGCTTCCCCTGCTACTGTTTCCCGCTGTGGGATGGTTTTCGTTGACCCCAAAAATCTCCGTTACACCCCATACTGGCAGAGATGGGTAATCGACAGAACTGACGAGGTGAAAAAAACATATGCACCCTATCTAAAACGTGCACATGTGTATCACTTGATTGTATCTCAGCAATGTTGTTTGTTTTTCTTCTAGGAACAAAAAGTGCTCAACCAACTGTTTGAGAAGTATGTGCACAGCTCTATTGAAATGATTGTGGAAGGTATTGTTAATGGAAAACAGGGCCAGAAACTGAAGACTGTTGTCCCTCAGACAGATCTGAACATGGTAGGTTAATCTCTTTCATGCAGAATGTTCTCCATTACCAGTGTTGTTGTATCTATGCATGAAGATAAATAAGTCCTATGGTTAACTTCTTGTCCGTGTGTTCAGGTGACTCAGCTGTGCTTGACACTGGATGCACTGCTTGAGAGTGAGAGATTCACTGCTGAAGTACTGGAGTGTTACTTCCTGGAAGCTCTGTACTGCTCACTGGGGGCCACGTTGGTGGAGAGCAGCAGGATCAAGTTTGATGAGTTCATCAAAAAACTCTCGTGTCTCAGCACAGTGCATGATGAGAAGGCCCTGGCTGGGCCTGGTGAGATCCCAGGTACATCTTGAATGTGGACTAAATGGAAAACAATATTAAGATCACCCATTAAAAAAAAGTGTTAAAGGTCCCATGTCATGGCCATTTCTACTGATCATAATTCCATTGTTGAGGTCTACTAAAATACATTCATATTGTGCGATTTTCCAAACTCACATTACCGGCACATTCTTCGCCTCTATTTACGACGCGTCGTCGGCCAGGTATAGCTTTTCTTTCTTGTTACTTGGGCGAGCGACGTGGTAATGAGGGGATTGTATTAGTATTCGTATGTTGCCCGACAGTGCTCGACTTCCTCGACTCTCGGACCTTCTTACATGGGAAGTCCGCTACTAAGTAGGCAGTAGATAGCTCCTGGGTCGTCAGGGAAGGTATCATCTGGGAGCTAGAGAGAACCAAGAAAAGAGGTGTAACCGAGGTCCAAGAGACGTCGCAGTACCTGTCCAGGCAAGACCTACTACCGAACGGTACTAGTCTCATTAGATCTTTGGTCTACCCATTACTTTACTTTTTTTAGGGGAGTTCCACTGTCTCTGTTGAATTCGTTAAACTGCCGAATCTACATGCTTGCGAAGTGTTAAGACAGACGTAACTCCGCGCAAAAAGGAAGTACTTCAATGACCTGACCACCCGGTCAGAACCTTCACGGGGCTGAGAGGCTGGTGCGTCGGTGGCCCGAGAAATAGAAGTGGTAGACAAAGGTCCTAGGGTCGCCGAGAGCACCACAGCTATTCAATCCATTGAATTCGTGGGTCTGAGCGTGTCCTAGTCAAGTTGAATTTTCCAGCTTCGTTGTCCCGAAGCCTCGCGGATGGGTGGGCCAAATTTAGGACCACAACTACGGTCGAGTAGGAACCAAATAACGAGGAAATCGCGGTCTTATGAGTCGGTGTGAAGTAGAGTCCCATACATAGTTACATAGAAACCCTGCTCTTGGCAGTCCATTGGGTGAAGACGAGCACCAAGGTAGTGTTTTACCTTTAGTATGTCCGCCACCCCTTATCGGATATACCTAGTCTTTTACACACGTAATTTGTTTGGGTCGCTATCTTTCACTGCTTACTATTTTGTATGAATATTTACACCCGATGTTCTTATTATTATAGGGTTTTATATATTGACAAAAGAAAGAGTGAGTACTATTAGATAAGTAAGATGTCTTTGGTACAAATATCGTACAAGATGTCAGTTCACGTACATTACTTATATTAGGTTTTACTGCATGAAGAACTATTTTCGTGTAGGAATATATAGATGAGATCAATATAGAAGGGGCCTAATAAGATATCATATGGTGAGTATTGGGGTACAATCGAGGGTGGTAGTTGATTGTATTGGAATTTTCCAGGGTACAGTACCGAAAAGGCCATAATGCGGCATGGAGCAACAGAGCAATAGCTTCCAACAATACGTACATTTGTCCAGGACGTCCAGTTGTTTGGGGGAGTTTCATGTTGGACATCACTCCATTTTGAGATTGTGTCGTGTCCGGACAGATACGACGGGGTGTTTGCGGAGCAACCTCTAAAGAGAAAAATGTAACAATGAGAACCCATATCACTGCATAAACCCCATATCACTGCATTACATTTGCAGGGCGCCTTCCGGGCAATTGCAAACCTGGCTTAGGGCGCCTGTGTGTGTGCTGTGGTGTGGTGTGTTGTGTGTGGCTGTGTGTGTGGTGGTGTGTGTTGTGTGTGTGTGTGTGTGCTGTGTGTGTGTGTGTGGGGTGGTGTGTGTGTGTGTGTGTTGTGTGTGGTGATGTGTGTGGTGTGTAGTGTGTGTGTGGCTGGTGGTGTCGTAGTGTGTGTGTGGGTGTGTGTGTGGTGTGTGTGACGCGCCTGCAACCGCTTCACACTCGACCGAGGACCACACCCCAGCCGCTCTGTGCGCTGCTGGTGGTCGCCTTGAGTCGACTCGGTTTTGGAGGGTCGGTCGCGACGCCCACACACAACACACAAAGCGCGTACCCAAAGCGTACACAGAGCGACAGAGGCGTTTCTTTGGTCACCGGTGACCCGAGTGTCCCTCCCCCGTCCGTCGAGGGTTGTTCCGGCAAATCCTGTCTCCACTGTATGGTGGTATGATATGTGCTTGCTACGACAT